ACCTCTTCCAGGTGGCTGTCCTGAGATGAGAGGGTGGGTTAAGCTGCTTCTCAGCCACAGCTGCCTGCAGACTTGCCTGGGAAGCTTTAAAACAGTACCAATGCCCGGACTGCTACCACCCCGCCCCCGTAAAGAAGCGGAAGTCCTTGGTTTTGGGGTGGCCTGGGCATCAGGATTTTTCACCACTTCCCCACCGCCAGGGTGGAGAACGACTTCAACCGCCCTTTCCCAACCCCTCTTTTCAGAAATGAAATCAGAGCCGGCAAATGACCTGCTAAATATCGTTAATTGGCTTCTGATGCGCACTAATAAGAAGGAGCTGTGGCTTGGATCATTCCAAACAGCGAATCACCTCAAAATAATGTCTTGTTTGGTTTGGGAAAGCACCATGTGACTTCCCAGCTGCCGGCTGGCCTGGCTAATTCAGTTTTCCTTGAACGGACACTGACAACGCAGCCGGTGCTGAGGGGTGGAAGGCAGGCAGCCGAGTTCAATGCCGACCCTAGCCGCTTCCCAGTGGACCCCAGGGCGGCTGTTGAAGGCACACACTTACTTTCGGGAGGTGGGGTTGCCCACCAGAAGTTTGCTCAGTGGGTCACAGCCTGAGTCTTCCTGGCCCTTCGTGCTGTGAAGCGTGGAGCTCAGAGGTGGGAAGGGCAAGTGAAGGGAGGGGGCTGGGTTACTGAGACCCTATTTTGAGCCAGGCCTCATGCTAAGCACTTCTACAAACGGCACGTGCTCAAGGCCACTCTGAGCTAGACCTTCGATGGCCTCGGCACTGCGATGTGGAACCCGAGGCTGGGGAAAGTTGTATAACCCACTATCTCCTGTTCAAGAGGGAGAATGGTAGGCTGGAGCCCAAAGCAAGCTGCAGGTAAACTTTATATCCCATCGAATGAACTCCATCTCCTATTTGTAAGCACAACCATGCAAAGGAGGTGGCTGTGGCGGCCGGAAGTGGCCAGAAGACCCCATAGGGCAGAATAGAAGGTTCCCCCGGGGGTGCCCAAGGCTGTATGGAAGCAGACTGCCTTTAGTATATCTTTCTGGCTGCTGGTTTGAATCATTGGTCATCTGGTTAGTAACCCAACGCTCCGCTCCAAAAGTTCCTCAGAGGAAACATGTTTCAAGATCATTTTTCAATAGGAAGTCGGTAGCCGGCCACTACAGTGGCCTTGGACTGAACTGACCTGTACACGTGCACACTGACCTCTGCTGGACAGTCCATTAAGCGGCCAACATTTTCCCCCTGAAAGAACTTGGTTTGAAAAGGGGCATCTTCCTCGACACATATCTTACATTTAGAAATACATTTACAAGAGAGCTTTTAAAAGTTGGTGTGTATGTGGGGGGAATCCCTTTATCTTTTCATTTCATATTCCCACAAACTTTTCGAAGACTTCTCAGAGTCTAATTCTTAAACATTCATCAAGCCTCAGCACTTGACGGCAAGTCTGGCGATGCACTGAGCTGCGAGAGGAACTAAATGCAACGCCTGAAGGAACCAGTCAACCAGCTGAGCTTTCATAGAAAGTGATCAAAAGTCCTACCATCCGACCCACGGTTACTGGTAGGGGATAAGCCAGTGTGACCCTGAAAAGTCTCTTTTATTTTTTTATTTTTAAACATTTAATTAGGGGCTCATACAACTGTTATCGCAATCCATACACACATCAATTGTGTAAAGTGCATTTGTACATCCTTCTCAAAACATTTTCTCTCCACTTAAACCCCCGACATTACGTCCTCATTTTTCTCCTCCCTCCC